AGTGACCGCCGGATTCAATAACTTCCGCGTCAAATATGGCTCACAGAAGGCCGGCTTCGACGCCAACGACGAGTTGGTTCTCATCTGAATTTAATTCAATTTTATATCATATTATTTATTTTGTATTGATTTTTGCACTTATTTTACGTTATGTTTATTCGTTTTCAAATGTTATGATTTTATTTAATTAACAAATATTTATATATGTTTTTATGATTTTAACTCAATACTCAATAGTTTAATAAAAGTTACTTTTAATTTATAATTGTGATAAATGGTTTTTGCTCTAATTGGGGTAGTAATGGACAGGTATGTGGACCAGTGGTGATAACATTCAAGTAAAATTACTAATTTTAGTTACAAAATCATTTTTATACAAAACAAATGACTAATTATTCCTAGAATATTGACTAATTAATAAACAACTAATGATTATATAAAATATTACAAATATAATATAAATAGTACTTTATAAATTTTAAAATATCTAATCATAAACTCTTTAAAAACGTTGAGATAATGTCGTAACCGCCGAGGAATATTGCGCCACCGATTGATATTTGAGTCACTCGGGGAACAGCACCGGACCATAAACTAAAAAACCAGAAATGCATTACTATTTAACAATGTAAATAGTTTGCTTGAATCCAATGATTACCCAATAAATCCATTTCTTTGGTAAATGTCTTTAAGAACGACCACAATATCAATGAATGAGAACGCTTTGCCCCTCTCGGCCAACATTATGCGAGTTTTGGCCAAATCTAATGGAGTGGTCAATAGGGCGGCCAAACCACCGGCCGTTGCGCCGCAAACAGTCGATTGTATGGGATTTAAAGGCATTCCCTGATGTGTTGACCATTTCTTTTTAAGCACTTCCCAAACGGGAAACTGTATCAAAGAAAATGGTATTTCGCGTACAATTGTACTCAAATATCCGCGATATAAACCACTAAACCCTTCCCGAGAGATAGTTGTCCTCAATATTAAACTGCTGGACATATTGGAGGCCTGAGCTCTCTGTTTGACCACTTCTGTCGGCACTCGTATTAAACACGCCGTCTGTTTGTAAAACATGCAAAATGTTAGTAATTTCTGTATTAAATAAAGTATTACAACAATAAAAATACGGACCACTTCTCCAGCGGAAGCGGACACCATATGAATGATGGGATCATATCTTTCAGACATATATGTCTTTAAAGTACTCTTCGAAGTCTCGTAAGCGCAGAAGAATAGCGCCGCTAAACAGCCAATCAAAACATAGAGTATTAATTAAATGAATTGGCAATCAAAACAATGATCTTAAGGGTGACTACCATTAGGTGCGGATCCAACCATAGCTGACGAGAGGCCGGAGTAAATGCGCCGAAAGCCACCGGACTTCCAGAAGCCGGCGTCGCTTTGGATCCGTGTCTTAATGGTGTCAATGGGAAAGAGTGTTAAGTCAACGCACATCCCGGCCATCGCTCCCGACTGTCGGCCACAGGAAATGACAATACATTTAACACATTATTATTGGGGACAAAATCAAAGAAAATAAGTGTAAATACAGACAACTAATGGGATGGAAATGTTGGACATTGTCTTCATCTCAAAATACACTTCATTTCGATGTCAACATAAAAGCCAAAGACATTCAAACTTTAATTGAGATATAATTTAAATTAAAACATAATTAAAAGTCCAAACGATTGATGAGATAATGAAATGAATGGTCACATGATTTCAATGTTTTTCTCTTTCAATATCTCATTGAAAACGTGTGGAAAAAAGCGCTCAAAACTTGATTCAAATAGTTTTGGACACGATTTACAGATAACGTGGTAATCAATGACTGCATTATTAATAGTGATTAATAGACAACACTTTACGCTAATTATAGTAATTGTCATAAGTTTTAGAAATTAATGCTTAATTGAGTACCAAATGGACGGCAATCTCGAAGCGATGGCCAGAAAAGGGGAGACAAAAGTTTTGATCGTTGTTTGTGTTCAGCAAAACATAAACATTGAATGCATTGACAAAACATGCAATGAATGCATATAGCCAAATTTCTCAAAGAAAAACCCTGCACATAGTGTTTAGCCAGTAATGCAAAGCTATGGCGCTATTATACTGCGCTATTGCATTGCACTCATACTGCGTTAGGCAACTGCCGAACCCAAGCGTTAGATGTCACTCAATATCGCTTTATTCCTGTGTTTACATCGCATAGAATGAAGCGTTTCTAACGGATTGGTCGGTCCTAACAGTACAGTCGAGTTATAATTTCTGTTGAGGGCTTTTCTTACGCTGCGCTGGCTTTATCTCTATAGCTTTTGCGCATTCAATGCATTGCCTGTCAATCGCGACAACCATTGACTCCATTGTTATTGCGATCGCATTCATCGGTTCCAGTCGTTGGCCTAATAATCACCCGATTGTCGGCCACTTTGGACTCCATATCGTTGAGCACATCGCGGGAAGTGATGGGTCGCCGCAAAATTGAATCTCCAGACGAGTTCCGGCCGACGGACGCCATCAACAGCAACAACAGCGTCGGCTCCGGTGGAGGACAACAGTTGCCACCGATTGAGAGGAAGTCTGTGTTTGAAAGACTCGGCAATTTTAACGCCCGAAGAGGTGCTGGCGGTGGACAGCAAACTATGGATGAGTCGGATCTGAGGTATCGCATGAGCCGTAAGAGACGGACCAACGATAAGCAATCGTCTCCTCCCACCGCTCAGACACCACTCTCTCCGCCGCCGCCATCTCATCGACACGTGTCGGGCGGCGGCAGCGGTGGTAAGGGTTCGTCCATTAAGAGCGAAGACAAATCGGACGCGAAGGTCAAGTCGTTAGTGTTGGCGCCAAATCGGCGCTCAGAGTCTCCGCCGATGGGCGGCCACAGTGTCTCCTCTTCGACGTCGAAACGGCCGACGCATAGGAGCGGCAAATATGACGGCGAAGACGTGGACAGCGATAGCGAAGATTTGGGCAAAAAGAAACTCGAAATACTTAAGCAGTTGATGGACTTAGAGAGCGCCGGCGCCCCCAACGAGACCACCGCCGCCGACGTCTCTACACACAAGCCCTCTGCCGTCAGTCCGTCTCCGGTGGTGAGCGTAGCGGTTCCGCAGCGCGACCTAAGCCGCAGCTCATCGCTTATATCATCGGAAAGTGACTCGTATTCCTCGTCATTGACTAAAACAGAGAGCAGTGAAAGCATTGACATAAAGACAGTCAAGAGTTCGGCAAACAAAGCGGTGGACAAGAAGTCTGACAAAAGTGATTATAAGAGTAAACTGAGTGACAGTAAGGCTCGGACTCCGCACGTGTCGAGCTCTATATCAGTGAAAAGTGGGACACATTTGGGCGACTCGTCCTCGCGGTCGGCGTCCAAGGGATCTGAAGTGAAACTGGACCGACACGGGAACGTACGGATCAGTCTCGACGAACAGGAACGACAGAAACGATTGCGCGCCGAGAGGTTCGGTCACAACAAGTCGAAGAATGAGTCCAAGAAGAAGAAGTCATCGCGAGACACATCCCGTCATTCGGTAACGCATTTATAATTTTGTTAATTGTTTTTGACCTTTAAATTGATTGTTATTTGCGATCCGCTATAGACTGAGCCTAAGATTGTGGTCTCGAGAGAAGACTCATACTCTCCGCCTTCAAAGAAATCAAAGGAATCGTCTGAACGTCTTGTGACGGAAGCGCTAAAACCTGAGCGAACGGACGACTCGAAGAAAGACCGCAATAGCGGTGCGAGTCTTCACAGCACTAAATATGACTCATTAAGCCCTCGCAGCCGAAGCCATGAACGCAAAGACAACTCCAAACACGAAGACAATCGAAGTAAGAGTTCGACGAATAGTTCTAAACAATTTTTGGACACAAATTCTGGCGGTCTTCGCGACCGTTCCCGTGAAAGTCATTACTCAGAGCGAGACAACGCTTCTGTGGGCCGTAAATACGGTCGACAAAGAGGAGGTCACCACTCGAGAGAACAATCGCCGACACATTCGAGTCATTCAAAGCTAAGTCGTGACAGAGAGTCGTCTATTGGCAGTGATTTCTCGCGTCGATCCAAATCTGAGCGCTTGTCTACGAAATCCATTGATCACAACAAAAGCAATAATGAGTTAAAAACAATTGAGATTAAAGTGAACGACTCGATCATTGAGGACAGGTTGTCGTCAATCAGTGCCGACAGCTCTATACCCGATGTGCCAGAAATGGATTCGCCTCTCATTGCGTCCAAAGAGGCAAAAGAGAGCAAACGAACGAAGAGTTTGTCTCCGAAACGCGTAGAGACCAAAGTCGTGGACGACTCGGACTCCGACACCGAAGACAAGTTCAGTGACTGGAGTGACACCGAAGATGAGATTCTTCTCAAGAAAGACGGCTTCGAGACACTCGACGAAGTTTGCAATATATCCGACAACTCTCTCGGCAAAGGTCTGTATTTTTATGTTATTTTTTAAATAATGCAAAAAAAATTGTCGCATAAATAAGAAGTGAGTAATTTATTTGATGTGTTTGTGTATAGACTCGTGGACTGCAAAGTCGAGTCATTCAAAGAGCAAACGAGACTCTCATAGCAGTCACTCAATCGCTCACAACAAAGACGATGCCTTAGAGGCAATCAGTGACGACGAATTGGATGCCATTATCGGCGACTCAGATCCGAGTGACACCACTGTCGACGCCAAGACGTCGAACTCCAGCCGACAAGTGTTGGATTCGTTGGATATCGATTGGGGAAGTCTTGTGACGGAACCCAAAGCCAAGTTGGAGTTCATACCGGGTTCGGCGCGCAAGAGGTTTAGCGCCGCCAACGTTCTCATGAGGATTGGCTTCTCTCAGGCGTTCGCCGGACAACAGATGACACAGAAATTGATTGATTTTTGCCAAAACGAGTTGAAGGAAGAGTTCGTGCCGTTCCGGCACCCGATCGCTGCCGTCCACTCCATTATGAGTGATCGCATTAGAGAACGGCTGCAACTGTTTGGCGCCGACACCACTCCGGCCACAGTATTGAGCGGCAGAAAAGACTTACAAATACGAAAAATGCTAAATAAGTCCAACTTTAAGTTGACTGACAATTGTGTGACGACTGGTGTGACCGCAGCTACGCCTCCATCGACAACGACTACTATCGCAACCATTACTACAACTACTCCACCAGTGAATGAGTTATCAGTTTCGTCGACAAATCCGATTGGAAGTCATGTGTCGGATATCGAGTGCTTTTAGACTATGTTTTACATTATATAATATAAAAAGACACACAAAAGACATGTAAAGTTTTTTCTTAACCTATTTGTTAAGTAATTCACGGAATAAATGAATAGTAAAAGTGAAGCCAAAAATGGGATCCTTTTTCTTAATCTATTATATATTTAATTAATTATTTTTTTGCCATTTTTCTAATGTATTATTAATGAACTTTCATAACCGCATTCTATGATAGAATAGAGTCGGGGAGAGAGAGAGAGAGAGAGAGAGAGAGAGAGAGAGATGAAGAGACCAAAAGTTTTGATGTAATTATAAGTAACGATAAGTGGAGCGAAAAGTAAATTACATTTTCGGCTATAAAAGCCGTTTTGTTATTACAGAGTGTACTGTATATAAGGTTTGTGTGTATTTCTCTCGTATTTCCTTTTTGAACGCGTGTTTGAGCGCAGAATTGTTGTTCTCGTCGCTACTTATGGCTTGATTTTGATGATCTTGTGATGCGTTAACAACACTGCACTTTCTAATAGACGTTTTTAGGCATAAAAATGGTGAGACATTTGAGTCAAACTATCATTAAATAGTGAGCAATACTTTTGACAGAGAATGAGATGAAGAGAGAGAAAGAACGGGGAATGGGATGAAAGGGAACGGCTTATCGATGAAATGAGGATCACATTAATCACAGGTCTCTCTCTCTCTCTCTCTCTCTCTCTCTCTCTCTCTCTCTTTCAGTATAAATATTTCTCTATAAATATAAGTCTCAACATTTGTGGTGCAATCGCTTATCTCTTATCCCTTTCATTGCGAACCCAAACACAACACAACAAAATATAAGGAAAAATTCTGTGCGAATGAATAGTATATTATATTTGTGTTTAGTATTGAAAATCATAAGACATGTTATTTTTATGAGTTATTTTAGGCCTAAAATAGACAAAAATAGGAAGAGATCTCTGTTTTATAGATAAACGAAACGTCTCTCCGAAGACCTGAAGATGAGATGAGAATTAAGTGAACTTTTTTCTCGTATGTTTCGATTGAATGGATAACAAAAGATTAATCGAATGGATAAATGCTTTCCAATTTGAGGATCCATTGGATGTGATGTTATATTATGATAGTCTGTGTTCAGAGAATACTTTCTCAAAGAGAGAGAGAGAGAGAGAGAGAGAGAGATGAAGAGACCAAAAGTTTTGATGTAATTATAAGTAACGATAAGTGGAGCGAAAAGTAAATTACATTTTCGGCTATAAAAGTCTTGTTTAAGCATTTTTGATGATACAGAGGATGCGCTCATCACTTACTCTCTAAACTTTTGTTTATATACTCTCTGTATCTACTCTTTGTATTTTTGCCAAATATAGTAAGTTATATAATATATATCACGAGAGAGAGAGAGAGAGAGAGAGAGAGCAAAGTGGGAGAGAATATACACTAAACACTAACACAAATCTGTTTAAAACCATTAACACCTCTCACAATAAGCGCTTAACTTATAGCTCTTTTAGTGCATAAATTATATGTTGTAGTGCTCTGGGAGTGACTCGGGATGTATGGCATGTATGAGAGTGAGGGAGGAAAGTGTGTGTTAGTGAGAGAGCCGGACGTTAATGCCATATAAGATATGTATAATAAGAAGCGATAATATATATAAACATTAAAAAAGTCGACTAATCGTCGCTTATAATCAAAACCTAAACCTAAAGCCTCTCTTCATTTCTCTCGCAGTGTTTGTGATAACAGATTAACTGTTATGAGTAGTGAATAGAATTGATAGCAATGAACATAAGCTTTAAGTGTTGTGTATATATATTGCATACGAATCTGAGAAACAACTATTTGATAGGATAGGCGATGGATGCGATGGCTTGCGATACATAGTATTGCCAGTGCCTGTGGCCAACTGATAAGACCAACCGATCCAAACCAACGCTCCCTATCAAAGGCACAATCGAGAGACAGCACTGATTCGACCAAAAATATACACATTATATCACTAATACTCCACCGATTCTCTCTCTCTCTCTCTCTCTCTCTCTCTCTCTCTCTCTCCACTCGTTTGCTCTCCTCTCCCTTTTCCTACTGTTCCTGTATTACAATTCCTGTATTTCTATTCCCTTCTCATATATAATACTGTACTTTAATTTAAGTCAAAAAATGTTCTCTCATTTTCTATCTAATAAGTATACAGTAAAGGAAAAATGTTGCGAATACTACACAAGAGGAGAGAGAGAGAGAGAGAGAGAGCCGACCGTTAATGCCATATAAGATATGTATAATAAGAAGCGATAATATATATAAACATTAAAAAAGTCGACTAATCGTCGCTTATAATCAAAACCTAAACCTAAAGCCTCTCTTCATTTCTCTCGCAGTGTTTGTGATAACAGATTAACTGTTATGAGTAGTGAATAGAATTGATAGCAATGAACATAAGCTTTAAGTGTTGTGTATATATATTGCATACGAATCTGAGAAACAACTATTTGATAGGATAGGCGATGGATGCGATGGCTTGCGATACATAGTATTGCCAGTGCCTGTGGCCAACTGATAAGACCAACCGATCCAAACCAACGCTCCCTATCAAAGGCACAATCGAGAGACAGCACTGATTCGACCAAAAATATACACATTATATCACTAATACTCCACCGATTCTCTCTCTCTCTCTCTCTCTCTCTCTCTCTCTCTCTCTCTCCCTCTCTCTCTCTCCTCTTGTGTAGTATT